TAACTCGGAAAAATTGGATACTTTCTCCTAATTTGGGAAAGTTGAATTCTCAACTCTCCATAAAAATGTTTTTTTTTAAGAAAGTAAGATTAAAATCATTCTTAATAAACTATATTTTTTTAGATTTTTTTATATCTATCAAATATGAGAAATCAAAATTCTCGATTTAAGATTTCTTAAAAAATAAAAAGATTTCGTATATCACAAGTCTCTTTATAACTACAAATCTTATGAAAACCATATAACCTAATATGATAATATTTAGTTTTTAAAGTAAGTTTAATTTGCTCAAGCAAATTTTTACTCATGACACTTGGCCTTAAATTTGCTCATACAAATTCATGATATAACTCTTTCATGATTATGCAATTTTTGAGGTTCATACCTTTCCAAATTTTCCAAATGTGCTAAAACTTGTCAAATCAACATAGGGATTCTAAATACAAATTATATCACCATTTAACATCTTTATCTCATAAACCATCAATTAAACACATTTCTTGCATATCAATTAAACACACATAAACCCTAAAATACCAAAATGGGCAAAATGCAAAATCATAAATTTGTATACAACAAATTCAATCACAATACACAAAACACATTACAATTCATTCCATCAAACATATAATAAAGAATATTCTTGTAGATATTTATAACCTTCCAATCGCATACAACATAATCTAAGAGGTTTAAGAGTAGTTTCACTACTCACAATCCTTGTATGTATCTATAAAGAAATACTTTTTCACTTCTCCTCTTACCTCAATGATGTAAATTCTTTAACATAATAATGTGGTTCACTGATTCAAAATTGTTATACAAAAATCGCATTTGTGTCATATATGAAGGATAAAAATCACATTTATCACATTTGAGATATTAACAACACATTAAACTCCTAAGGTCAGGGAAATATTCGGTGGCATCTGCTTATAAGATTTTAGCAAAGTCAAACCTTGTTCAAGTGGACACTTTTTATGATACGATATGGGCCAAAGGTATCCCTCCTAAGGTTCAAGTTTTAGTGTGGCAGTTGGAAGCGGACAGGTTACCTACCCGGGATAACCTCCTTTTGAGAGGGGTTACTCTAGAAGGACAAAATGTAACAGCCCAGCAACCCCCGCATGTGGATATTGTCCGCTTTGGCCGCAGCCCTCACGGTTTTGTTTCTGGCAATGGCACGCATGCCACCCCAAAACGCGTCCACACAAGGAAGGTATCCACACCCATATATATGGCATGCTTTGTGACACCCTCTACCCCATTATTAATATACAACAAATGTAACAATAAAATAGTTCTTTTCTTCTTATTGGGTAAATAAAATTTTTCATAGTTGACAAATATTTCAGATATCACAAGGTAGAAGATTCACATTCGTAACTCATAAATCATAACTCCAGTGTAAAAAAAATTATAAAAGAAAAGAAGTTAAGATTTTCAATACAATTTAGTGAAAAACAAGAAATCATATATATACAAATAATAATAAAGGAAATATAAATTAACTCCAGTAAAGGTGGCAGTGCCTCCTGTGTGATTTACGTAAATTTAATTTGGCCTTGCTAGGCAAGTGGAAATGGAGGATGCTAACGGAACCTAATAGTCAATGGGTGAGAGTGCTCAATTCAAAATATGCAAAGGAAGACGGTTCATGGGTAGTGGAAGGTCGGACTTGCTCTAAATGGTGGGTGGATATGCAGTCAGTTGTGGATGCGGTTCACGGATGCTCTGGATGGTGGAACCAACATGTACGCCATGTACTGGGAAACGGTAAGCAGACTCGCTTTTGGCATGACAGGTGGATCGGTGAAACTCGTTTTTGTGATGAGTTTAGTCGCCTTTATGAAATCTCGTTAAACAAAAATGACTCGGTAGAAGGAATGTATGAGGGTGGTTCAAAGTGGCGGTGGAGTTGGAGGCGCCCACTTTTTGCATGGGAAGAGGAAAAGTTGGTTGAGTTGGCTAATAGGTTGGCCTCGGTAGTTTTGACAGAGGCTCACCCAGATGAATGGCGTTGGTTAGCCGAAAGGTCAGGGAAATATTCGGTGGCATCTGCTTATAAGATTTTAGCAAAGTCAAACCATGTTCAAGTGGACACTTTTTATGATACGATATGGGCCAAAGGTATCCCTCCTAAGGTTCAAGTTTTAGTGTGGCAGTTGGAAGCGGACAGGTTACCTACCCGGGATAACCTCCTTTTGAGAGGGGTTAATCTAGAAGGACAAAATGGTTGTGTTTTTTGCGAAGAAGGCTCGGAGTCCAGCAAGCATTTGTTCCTCTTGTGCCCAAAGGCTTATGCTGTTTGGGTCAGATTATACGCTTGGTGGGGAGTGTCAGGGGTGCTTATCAACGAACTTAGGAGTTTTTGTCATCAATATATGGGATTGGTGAGTGGCAGTAAGGGTATTAAGCGAGTTTGGTTTGCAGGTATATGACAGTTATGGAAGGCTCGAAATGAGAACATTTTTAAAGACAAACTCTTTAAGGTGGAAGAGATTGTGTTCATGGCACAGTTGAGATCGTGGGAGTGGTGTACGGCTGCTAGAATGATGTCTTCTTCTTTTCCAGAATGGTTGATGAACCCATTATCCTGTGCAAGTGTCCCTTAAATTTTTATTTTTTTTTTATTTTTGGGTCATCTTGATATATTTTATATAAAATTATAAAAATTAAATATATTTAATATATTATTTTCTTTATATATAAATAAATTTAAAAGGAAGAGTAGCGATAAAAATATATGATTAGGTAGTCTAAGAACTTCTCTAGTGAAATTGCTTAGAGCATCTGTAATAGGGGTTGCTTATAAGTAACTCCTGTGCCACATCACTGTCACATTAGTTCTGGCCTACTTTATGAATTACTTAAATTTTAGCAAAGTTTAGAGTTTAGAGTTTAGGGTAGAAGCAACTTTGCAAAAATTTGAACAATCCATAAAATGGGTCAGAACTGATGTGACAGTGATATGATATAGGGGGTTACTTATAAGTAACCCTTATTAAAAATATTCTTATAAATAATTCTCAATATCACATTATGCCACATCAAATTTATGAGTTGCTTAAATTTTAATAAAATTGTTAGAAATACTTAAAAAAAAAAAAAAAAAAAAAAAAAAAAGGCATGGTAAGTGGCAGTGTGGCACAGACTGAACAGTACCCAAGGAGGGCACAACTCACAAGATTTAATAACGCCTCCGTCTTCTTATCCTCCATTGTCTTGTTATGCTCAATTGCTCATCTGACGCATGCAATGACACAAACCCATACACTCCTCAATTTCAAATGCCCATATCCATATAAAGTTCAAGTTAATTTCCCTGATTTCATTTTCAGAAAATACTTTTTTTCCTCTCAGTTTCTGCTCTTCATTTAAAATTTCATCATATGAATTAAAAAACTAATTAATCTTATCATTTATATCACAATTATAAACCAACAAGTAATTAATTTCAGCACACCCAAATTCAGTTTCATGTATTATAAATGGAATGATCAGGAGAAAAAATTTCATTAAAGTGATCAACAATATTTTCTTTTACGAAAATAACCACTAATAAGTTAGATAAATATTTTACATCAATAATATGATAAAAAATATTAAAATTATATAATTTTTCATATGTTTTTAATTTTCATTTATTGCTTTAGCATTCCATGTATTACGGCTTCTCTCTCTTTTAGTAAGAATTATATATTATATAATCAGATAACTAGCGATCGATGCTATTTTGAAGTTTTAAAATGACATAATAAAAAAGTTCTTAAAAAATGACAAAAGGCGGAGATAATATTGTTTAAAAAAATATATAGAAAACACAAGTGTTGTTTAATATATTTTTATTTTCATTTTACGTGTTTATAATGATATAAAAAAAACACTTCATTTTTATTTTATTTATTTTTAAGAAGCTGTAAAAAAATATAAGACAAAAAAAGAAACCGTTTAATTATTCTTTCTTCTATTTCTTTTAAAATTAAACCATAAATAATCTAATTAGATGCGTAAATTTTGTCTGAGAAAATATGGTCTCTATATTAAGAAACTTTTTCGTTGCATTATTTTCACCGACAATTCTCTACTCCCACTTTTGAAATAAGAATTTTATTTATAGAACATTTTTCAAAACTTTTTCTACAATTAAAAAAGTTATGAAAAGATAATACAACTTTTAAAATACTATTATTAAGTTAGCATCACTTTTGTTGTTATAATTATTAAAGTTATCAAAATGAGTCAGTTTGATTCATTTAACTTGATCTATCTTAATTTATTTTTTAAGTGAGTTGAATTGGTTTGACCTATCAAATTTATTATTCAAAATTTTTTAATCCGACCCGGTCCATCATAGATTGGTGGACTAAACGAATCGGTCCACCAACTCACCTATTTTTTTTTAAAAAATAATAATTTAAAATAAATTTTAATATAAAATAATTTCTAATTTAAAGTAAAAATTATTAAACTAAGTATTATGCATATAACACTAAACTTAAATTAAAAAATGTATAACTTAAAAAATTAAAATAAAAAATAAAAATTCTTTTTTGAGAGTAATTATTCATTAATATTAAATTTTATTAAAAATTTTAATAGATAAATTTATACTTATTTCATGTTGTTTAACATTAATTTTATCTTTATTTATAAAAAGAATAATATCTTATTAAAATAATACATATATAATAATAATAAATAGTTAAGTAGATTATTAGTGAATTGGATTAATGGGATGGCAATTGGGTTAGGAAGATACTCTGACCCACTACATACTCAACCTTGGTGGATTGAGTCAAAAGTGAACCGGGTTATATTTTTTAATTTATTATAAAATTTTTCATTCTTTTATCCGATTCAATTCATTTTTAACGAATTGGACCTAATAATTGTGTTCCAATGGTTCAACGTAGTAAAGATTGTCACTAGATATTTATTGTCATTATTATAACAACAAAGTAACAATTTTATTCTTGTGATTGTGAGAGATTACATCACTCTGTGCTACTTGTTCTATATAAATTCTACACAGCCCTTGCTTCATAGCACAATCTATTTTCACACGAGTAACAGAGTAGGACCATTGAAGGAAGAAAGAAAGACGATGGACCTGGGAACCTATGGCAATCCTACACCAGCAGAGAAAAAGATCGACTCTTACTATGATGTGCCAGAAGGAGTGGATATTCGTGGAAGATACGATGAAGAGTTTGCAAAAATCCTCACAAAAGATGCTCTGAAGTTCGTTGCTGACCTGCAACGTGAGTTCAGGAACCATATCAAGTATGCATTAGAGTGCAGAAGAGAGGCAAAGAGGAGGTACGATGAAGGGGCTGTGCCAGGGTTTGATCCTGCTACTAGGCACATAAGAGAGCATGAGTGGGTATGTGCACCTGTTCCACCAGCTGTTGCTGATAGGAAAGTGGAGATCACTGGCCCTGTTGACAGAAAAATGATCATCAATGCTCTCAACTCTGGAGCTAAAGCCTTTATGGTTAGTATATCTACTCTACACTACTATGCTGTAATTTGACTAAGGTTGATTGAGTTAAGCTTAAGACATGTACCAAAAAATGAGAAACAAGACTATGCTTTGATGACTTTTACAATAACTATTTTAAAACTCATACTCATAATGATTTGTAATTGGTTGAGAAAACTGATTAATTACAATAACAATATATAACCATTAAATCCATAAAAAAATTTGTGTAGACTTGTATTTTTATGTGATTTAAGTCCATAAAAAGCTTAAATTGTGTCAATTAAAAATTTAAGTTTTCTCCCATTCAGAATCAGATTCTTCTTCCCTGATTTCATCTGCCATTGAGGATGTTCAGGATGGAGGACCTGATTTTAAAATAAGAAAATACTTGAAAAGTTTAGAACCTAAGATATCAAACTTTCACATTTGTGAAAAGGGATTGGAAATGTAACTTTTCGGTTTTACTTATATAAGGGTTGATTGAATTTGGTTTATCCCGGAACTAAAGCACTGAAAGTTGTTGTTTTTCTGAATTTTAAGGCTGATTTTGAAGATGCACTGTCACCGAGCTGGGAAAATCTTATGAGAGGGCAAGTGAACTTGAGGGATGCTGTGGCTGGGACCATAAGCTTCCATGACAAGGTCAGAAACAGGGTTTACAAGCTCAATGATCAGACAGCAAAGCTTTTTGTGAGAGTAAGAGGTTGGCACCTACCCGAGGCACATATTCTGATTGATGGTGAACCTGCAACTGGTTGCCTTGTTGATTTTGGCCTCTACTTCTACCACAATCACTCAACATTCCGGCGCACTCAAGGTGCTGGCTTTGGCCCTTTCTTTTACCTTCCCAAAATGGAGCATTCAAGGTAAGCACTATGCTATGCACTCATAACACGAGCCACAGGACAAAGCTACAATTTTAGTAGTTTCACTAGTTTTAAGCTTTTATGGGAAGCTAGAATTCGGTTTTGTAGTTTAATATATGAAATACAAAACTTAGATACATCTCTTCTAAGTACTTGTTTAGGTATGTCAAAAAACTAATATATCATTTAAGAGTTGAGGTCAAGTCTAAAAACATTTTTATCCTTTAACTCACTTAAGAGTCTTTTTAAAGACAAACTCATGATGATTCAACTAATATTAAAATGGACAATACTTTAACTTCAATTGGAGCAGTCCAACCTAAGGTTGGAACACTTCTCATGTTATTTTCTAATTAAAATTGTAGTTTGAAATTCTAATTTTGATCATAGAACAGAGTCAAACATATTTAAGGAAATGAATCTAAGTTTTGTCCTATATTTTGAAATTGTAATATAAGACTCTTGTATTATCTAGGTAAAACTCTACATTTGAAAAATAATACTGAGATACTAATTAAGAAATTACATCTGAGTTTTATTCTATATTATAGAAGTGTAATACGAGAACCTTGTGATTGACAGGGAAGCTAAGATATGGAACAGCGTGTTTGAGAAGGCTGAGAATGTAGCAGGCATCGAAAGAGGAAGCATCAGAGCAACTGTTCTGATAGAAACACTTCCTGCGGTGTTTCAAATGGATGAAATTCTGTATGAGCTGAAGGATCACTCGGCGGGTCTGAACTGTGGGCGTTGGGATTACATTTTCAGTTATGTCAAGACCTTCCGGGCTCACCCTGATCGCCTGCTACCAGACAGGGTCCAGGTTGGCATGACTCAACACTTCATGAAGAGTTACTCCGATCTCCTCATTAGAACGTGTCATAGACGCGGTGTGCATGCTATGGGAGGAATGGTATGTAATAGAACCACTTTGATTATAAGAGCTTGTTTGGATAAGTTTAGAAACGATCTTGAGAACTTTTATTTGAAAACACTATATATTTATAGTAGAGAAGTATCAAATTACAAGATAGTATCGAAGTTTTTCTTATGAATTGTTGGATTTATCGAACTATTTATTGGATTTTTGTGACGGATAGATGTTAAATCCTTCAAATCTTATACTCTATTTCTCAATGTATAGGAGGTGTATGTTGGAGAGGAGAAAACCTCTTACAATCTAGATCTTGGGGATCAAACTACAACATTGTTTTATTTTTTCAATAATTTACATAGAAGATGTCTTTTTATTGGGGGCAGTATTCTTGCCTACTAGTCTAAAGTCCTATCTCATTCACTGTACTGTAACAGCCACTAGTTTGAAGGGCATTTGTACACAAATGAGATCCAACACGAGGTTCCGGTGCTAAATAGATTGTGATGTGTTTGACGAAAATTCAATTTGTTGAACAGGCAGCACAGATTCCAATCAAAGATGACCCAGTGGCTAACGAGGCAGCACTGGAGCTTGTGAGGAAGGACAAGCTAAGAGAAGTGAAGGCAGGGCACGACGGGAGTTGGGCAGCACACCCTGGTCTGGTTCCAGCATGCATGGAGGTTTTCGACAACAACATAGGCAATGCTCCGAACCAGATAAAGACAGCAAAACGCGAAGACGCTGCAAACATAACCGAACAAGACCTCTTGCAGATACCAATAGGAGGCCGAAGCATGGAAGGCCTGAGACTAAACACAAGGGTGGGAATTCAGTACATGGCAGCATGGCTGAGTGGAACAGGTTCGGTGCCTCTCTACAACCTCATGGAAGATGCTGCCACTGCTGAGATCAGCAGGGTGCAGAACTGGCAGTGGCTCAAGTATGGAGCGGAACTAAATGGGGATGGGGTTGGAGTGAAAGTGAGCAAAGAACTCTTTGGTAGAGTGGTTGAAGAAGAGATGGGTAGGATTGAAAAGGAAGTGGGGACAGAGAGGTTCAATAAGGGAATGTACATGGAGGCTTGCAAGATCTTCACTCGGCAATGCACGTCGCCAACGCTTGATGATTTTCTCACTCTCGAGGCCTATAATTACATAGTAGAGCATCACCCCAGCGAATCATCAAAGCTTTGAACTCAGAACTGAGAAGCCAGTTCGTTGTGTCTTGTGTCCTGCGTCCTTGGGACGTTCCTAGTTATGCGTGGAAGAAAGAATAAAGTTCGTGATTGTAGCTATTTTGAAGGAGGGATACAACTTGTGCTGTATGTTTACCATCGTTGAAAATAAAATTATAATATAAAAAATTTGAAATTTATGATTTTGTCACTAAAAAATTAAATTATGTCATTAATGTTTTAAAACTAATTTATGATTTTAAGTTTGTATGGAATAAGATTGTGATACAGATACTACTTTGCACGAAATATTTTATATTAGTTATTTTTTATATTTATATTTTCTGTTTTTTGTGACATAAATTTTGACGATATAAAATATTTAAAAAATTTATAATGGATCAACATGTAATAAAGAAAATTTATGTTTTATGTTTGGTAGTCAACTGTCTATCATAGTATGTATACTAAATTAATTATTAATCACATTGTCACTCAAATTTTATGATAAGTGTGTACACACAACATGAAAAGAGAATATTATATGTTGTGTGTGGTCATATTTATCATAGAATATTGTGGTAGTTGTAATCTTACTTGCCATAAAACCTTAAACAGCTACAAAATAAGCACTTTTTTTAATATTTTGTTCATTTTTTGAATTTTTTTCAAACTTGTACAACATAAATACATTCAAGCAGCTCAATACAACATATTATTGTTAAGTTAAATACAAACATTTATACGAATATAATATCTATCATTTAAATTGAGATAATGTACAAATTAAACTACCTAACAATCAAAAAGAGATAACAATAAAGTTAAAATTAACAATAACTGTCATTAATTAATAACAATGAATAATTATTATAAGAATGTATCAGTGTTATCAAATAACAACGGATCTAAAGTAAGCTAGTCAATGTACAAAAAAAAAAAAAAAATAATGTAGAAAAATATAAATCAACCCTCAAATTGACTTTTAAGAAAAACATGTCTATCTTTTGTGAATAGCTATTAAGTCTTCATGGATAAGTGGAGTTGGATTTTTGAATATGTACTATTAATTTCAAATAGAGATAAGTTAAATATTAATCGATCATTAAATAGTTAAATAATCGTTTAAAGTAATTAAATTGATTTAAAAATATATTATCCCTTTTTACGAGTCCTTAATGTTGTCAATAATAATGGTGATCATGTGTTTCATCATATAATAATTGTACTCATGATTATTTGGTTGACGTTGGCACTATAATTTAGTGAATACAAAACATAAATAAATCATAATATATTTTATTCAATTATAGTATTATTAGGTTGACATTTGACTTAATTTCAATACTATATATCGAAGCTTCTTGTGAGCTGCGAGAAAGCCCTACAAGATCAACCTTGCATCAGGGTTGGTCCCGACATTGTATGAGTCTTAGGCAAAAGGATAAATATAAACCTTTATATAATTTTTTAATAACTATGTTATTGATATGATATTCATGGGCTTCATTAATGATTAATATCTATTGCAAAACATAGTTGGTTAACCAATGCCTTATTTAAAGTGATTGAATATAATATCACTCAAATTATGACTTGTTAGTTTGATCCCTTGTATAAATATTTATAGTATAAAAATAGATACATGATTTAATTAAAAATAACATATTTTATTACATTAAATACACAACACAACGTTAACAAATATAAAAGAGATGCATTTTCTTTTTATTTCTTTATTTTTATAAAAAAATGATTTGTCTGCAAATTAGAAAGATCAAAATAGAACAAAATTTTGAAGGATTAAAATCAAACTTGAAAAATCCTATAAAAACTAAAAACATATTTTACTTTTTAATGAATATAATACATAGAAAAAGTGATAATAAAAATAACAAGAATTTAAAATCATATCACAAATTTATATTTAGATATAAAAAAGAAGTATATAAGAGATAATTTTATTTTTAGAAGTCTAAAATAATATAAAAATTTATCTCAAAATTATATAATTTTTGTCAAAAAAAATTTGGGTTCATCTTAGTGATGGCCCTAAAGCAGATGCACATCCAAATTATCCTTAAAATTGGCCCTAGCTTGCATCCAAAGACCTATAAAAATGAATGATAAATCAAAAATAGTTAAACAATGGAATTATTATTTGGTTTATTAAATTATAAAAAGAAAAATAAATTACAAGATTGAAAGTAGATACTTACAAATCAATGAGGTGTCTGATAAGTATATCAATAGTTTTCTTGTATAATGAACACGAGAGAACTATAACAATTTGTCTCATAATTATAACGAGTTGTCAATGTAGACTGTATTTAGCAATAGTGTTAGAAATTACTAAGTTACCATGAACTTTAAATAAAATATAATACAAGTAATTTTCAATCAAACAAGGTGCTAAGTACATCTCCTGTTCTCCTAGTTTGAATTGGTTTATCAAATGTTGCTTCATCTTAGTGCCTTTATTCCTCTACCCACACCATATCATCTAGAATCACCTAGTGTTGGATGGTTGATCCCAACTTACCTATGGCCACCAATTGCTTTGGGGTGTTCTCAATGTATAGTTACGCCTCTAATGATGCCTTGTTGGCAACATCCTCCTTTGATGTGTCATAAGTGAGTTGCATATATAACAATTTTGTTAGTAAATGTTCAATAATTAATTAACAACAATTATATATACAAAGTTAATATTTCATAACGTGATAGTCTGCCATATCTAGTTCTTCATGCTTTCTAGAACATGGTCCCAACTGTCATAAGTAATCAAAGCCTTACTCCCCTATCAAGGCTATAGGGCTATGAAACCACTACTTATGCAACCTATAAGCAAGCCCTATCTTCAAAAGATTTTGTCAGTCATTGTAATAAGTAAATACTCTCAAAATAGAAATGAATTGTTCAATATTTTTAATGTATCCTTAAAAAATGTGATCTAGAAAATATTTGATATTTCTCAGTCACACTTTGCAATTTTTAAATCAAAAATTTCATTTTTAATTAAAACACGAGTTAAATTTATGTTAGTATGTATAACATTACATAATTTTATTCATAAAAAATAATTGTTTTAAAAAATTTTCAATTGAATTGATAAATGAATAATTTTCAATGATAATAGTTAATGAGCACCATAATTTGAAATGGATGTTAATGAACAAATGCTATTATAACTTAAAATGTATGGGAAAATGTTATTTAGAAATACTTGAAGTTAATATCAATTATATGCTAAAAGATTGGAAAATTATAGTAATTTTACTATTGTTTATTCAAATATTTTAATTGTGTGAAAATTTTAACTCTGATTATTCAACATAAGGCACAAGAACAAGCTTGGTTGCCTATGAAGATCGTTATAAATGCTCTTATTATATGACATTTATTTGCTTCAACATTCATCTAAATAAATAAATGGGAGACAATAAGAGTATTTCTAGATCTTATGAAATTGAACATCAACAATACCTCAATGGAAAACTTAGAGAGATGTTAGGTTTAAAGATATAATTTGTGATCATAATAAACAAAGAATTTTAGGTTTTTTGGGTTGTTGTATAGTCTTTATCGGCCTAAAAAAAATGCTAGGTATCTTTCATAGGCTTTAGAATGCTTGGCATGATAATATTCACAACCTTATTTGTGAACAAAATTCTATTAGAATCTTGAAGTTAAAAAAGAAAAATGTCGATATTTTTCATTCATAATACACGCTTACAAAGAGGATTAATCACTTTTGCTTCTTTAAACTGAATCAATAGCATTAAACATTACATCTAGAAAGTTATTTTGTGTGTTGATTTCTTAGCCAAACATAGTGTAATGCATAGTTAATCCCTCCAAGTTTGAAAGAATAACATTCCTCAATTACTTCCTTTTTGTTGGCTGATGTCATAAATATCTTATATATTAAAATATAATTTTTATTTATTTTATCTTTACATTTTCTAATACATTAAAAAACTTTCAATTTTTTGAAAAATAATTTTGTCCTTATAAATCCATCAAAATTAAAATTACAAAATATTAACAACAATTCATTTAAAAAATCTAAAAAATAATTCTATTCATATAGTTTTAAAATACATAACTTTCGAAATCTCAATTTAATATTCAAGTTCAATGATTTTTATTATTAAGTAATTAAAATAAAAATAAAAATTTGTTTTAAAATGTGACTTTCAATCATTAAAACTAATGATATAATAATTTATAATTATATATTAATAATTATATAAAATATCTTTACACTATAAAAATATATCTTAATTCAATTATAAATCATTTAACTAAAATCACATAATCTCTATCTACTAATTTTATTTTAAAAAATCTATTAATTTTAAATGATGCCTTAAAAATTAAAATTAAAAACGATCAAGTCCAAATAATACTAGTAATATTTACAAAGAATAAAAAAATATAAAAGGTACGAGATTTATAGGAAAAAAACACGCAACTTAATGAAAAAAATAAATCCTAATGTCTATAACATTTATATAAATGTATAACAATATATAAAAAGACACTTTCAACCGAACTACTTTTTATTAAGATGATTTTGTCTTTAAATATTTTTATATTTTTTTTTCTCATTTTTACACTAATTTGTTTTTACACTGATATTTTTTATCAATGATTATATTTACATTCACTTACTACTTATATAATTTTTTGAAAATAAATTATATAGAAGTACAAAATATAATTCTTTTACTATTTTTTTAATGAAAAAACAGATCCAGATAATATTATAAATATATAAAATTCCCAAAATAAACTGTATATTGAGATGATAAAAAAGATTAATATATTGAGATAATAAATTTATTTATACCGCTCAAATTTTAATTAATATATAAAAAGGATACTCCTTTTAATAATTTTCTTGATCTTCACATTTTATTGACTATTATATCTTTTTATTTTAAAAAAATTAAATAAAATAATATTTTTATCAAAATTAAAATCATATATTAATATATAGAAGAGATATTCTTTTTAGTAACCATATTGATCTTTATATTTTATTGATTATTATATTTTTTCATTTTAAAAAATTAAAAAAAATAATATTTTTATTAAAATTTAGACTTAAAATTAATTAACTAATTATAATATTAAATTAATATATATTTATTATTTAATTTTTATTTTATTTTATATCTAATAGAGTTACAAAGTAGCTCATCTTTACTAGTAAATATAATTTAGGTTATTTATCAGCAGATATATTTAATTCAATATGGTATTTAACATTTAATACTCCTCGATTGCAAGATCTCTACAAAAACAAAAAAGATATTTAAAAAGAGAATTGGGCAAAAAAAATCTGTCAAAACGCGTGAAATCCACCAAATAATTGAAGGTATCGCCGACAATCGGTTAGAAAGGTGTTTATTATTTAGGTGGGAAACCCTAATTGATTCTCTCTCACACCATACGCGTCAAAGGAGGCGGCTTCTCTCGTGTCTATCCTCTGCTTTCGCTTTCTTCGTCGTCGGTAAGGCCATTCGATACCTCTGAACCCTACCCAGACGCTGCCACCTTTAGGGTTTCCATCATCCTCTCTTTCTTCCTCTTTTCTTTGCCTGTTTGCTTTCTTCTTTGTTTCCCTCTTTTGTTTTCCTTTTCCATCGGTTCGCTCTTCATTGTATCCAGGAAAAACAAAATATTATTACTGTTTGTTCGATTGATTAGGGTTGTGTGAATCATTGAAAAAAGAACTTGAATCCCTGTTCTGTATCTTTTTTTTTGGGAGGATTAGGGTTTGGAAATTTGGGGATTTTGAGGGTTTCGGTTTGACATACATTTTTCTTCGGTTCTTAATTGCTTATTGAGAGGACTTGTGCTTGTCAATCACATGGCGGCAGGGCGAAAAAGTGTTTCTCTGAAGAGAGACTCGTTCTATTATAGTTCCACCAAGGTGCTTGATCACTTTAAGAATGGCTCTTTGGCCGTGGAAGGTTGTGGATATCGCAGCCATCACTTCGTTCGTTCCGGAGAGAGTGGGTTTCATGGTGGAAAAGAGGAGACAGAGCCCGGTGAGATCTGTGTTGAAGAGCATGGGGAATATGAGCACTCATATGGTTTGCCACCGCCAGAGAAGAAAAGGAAGTTTTCTCCAATTGTGTGGGACCTAGCAGAGGGGGAGGGAAGGACTGCTTCAAAGAGTAGGATCTCGCAAATTGCTGATCTGTCTCTCTCTCGTGCTTCTCTTCCGACCAGTCCTGGAGCTAATCGTGTTTATGGTGGGGATGTTATGGAGGAGTCTTCACCAGATTCTTCTGATGTGTTGCCCCGAAGCTTTAAACCCGATGTGGAGGAAGAGAATGATGTGCAAGGATGGACCATCAAAAAGTCAAGATGGGCTTGTGATGCTCCCTCACCGATGGGTGCTGATGATCAACGCAAGCATGGCAAATTGAGCTCCAGTCCTGAACTTGTTGAATCCCATGATGGCAGTGGATGTTCGGAGAGCACAGTCACTAGATCATCAGGAAGCAGTGGAAGAGATTTTTATCTGGGTCCTTCTACTGATGACACCGATTCCGAAAAGGATTTAGTTGTCTCCATGGTTGATGTTGAGGAACAAAGTAATTTTAGTGATTCTTCGTCAGATTCGGATGAGAGTGGTAGTTTGATGCACGCGCAGAGAAATATAAACATGCTTCAGAGTTGCAGAAGTGTGTGCGAGTTTGAGATGATTAAGAAAATAAATGAAGGAACTTATGGCATTGTCTATAAAGCTAGGGATAAGAAGACTGGAGAAGTAGTTGCATTGAAGAAGGTGAAAATGAACATAGAGAGGGATGGCTTTCCTTTGTCATCCTTGAGGGAAATAAACATTCTTTTGTCTTTTAATCATCCCTCCATTGTGAATGTTAAAGAAGTAGTAGTTGATGATTTTGATGGTACTTTTATGGTAATGGAGTACATGGAGTCTGACCTTAAGGGGATGATGGAGGCCAAGAAGCAGCCCTTCAGCATGGGTGAAATTAAATCCTTGATTAGGCAACTTCTTGAAGGTGTCAAGTATCTCCATGATAATTGGGTTATCCATAGGGATTTGAAGTCATCTAACATTCTGCTGAACCATGAC